AGGTGTGCTCCCCGCTGAGCTAGGGCGTTCCAACCAGCTTGCTCTTTCGGGGCTCCCTGCTGCCTAGGAGGTGAGGCACATGCTGGTCAGTGGAGGAAGCTGGTTGGTAACCTACTGGAGAGGGGACCTGGAGCAGTGAGTGGGGTGGTCAGTGGGCTGTAAGGAGAGAGTGGCCTGCAATGGCCTTGGGCTACAGTGCAGCCCAGGCTTCAGGCTGTTGAGGGGACAGAGTGAGGCCATCGGTGGTGAGCAGGTGGTGGGAAGTGGGTGGCGAACGGGGGCTGGGAAGGGGGCTGTACCAGGAGAGCTGTGGCTGTGTTATGCTGAGGAGTATGCAGGTTACCTGTACAGCATCGTCTCACTGGGGTGATCCTCCCCTCCAGGTGACACTGGGCAATGTCTGGGGACATTTCTTTTTCTTTTTCTTTTTTAAATATATATCTTTATTGATTTCAGAGAGGAGAGGGAGAGAGAGATAGAAACATCAATGATGAGAGAGAATTGATCGGCTGCCTCCTACATGCCCCCTACTGGGGGTCAAGCCCACAACCCAGGCATGTGCCTTAACTGAAATCGAACCTGGGACCTTTCAGTCCGCAGGCCGACACTCTATCCACTGAGCCAAACCGGCTAGGGCTCTGGGGACATTTCTGGTTGTTATGACGGGGGTGCTCCTAGCATCGCGTGGGTGGGGCCAGGGGTGCTGCTCAGCGCCATATGCCCAGGATGGCCCCAAATGCCAGTAGTGTGAGGGCTGAGAAGCCACTAAAGGAAGCCATTTAAAATGTTAGAAGCATAACACACATCTTCTGTGATAATAACAGCATAATATGCTAATTAGACCGGATGTCCTTTGGACGAAGCGTGCTAGAGGGAAGCTGGTGCCGGTAGCCGGGGGAAGGAAGGCCTACTCTTGCACAAATTTCATGCATCGGGCCTCTAGTTTGTAATAAAATCCAAGCAATTCAGGTGCCCGGGGTAAAACTAAAGCTCTGCTCTCCCCCTCAGCTGGTGCCCATCTTGCTCCGTTGTCTGGTCCACATACACGTCCTTCACACTTGCTGATCCACAAACCTGGCCGTGTGTGCATTCCAGGCCTTTCCCACTGGATGTCAGTTGATATCTCTTGGCCGAGTGGGCAGTACTTGGTGAATAACCACTGCCCACATCACTGGAGGGGTTCTAGAAGGTGGGGTGCTGGGAGAGGGGTGTGTGGGCCAGGGAGGGGTGGTTCTTCAGGGAGCCTTCCCAGCCTGGTGTTAAGTTCCTCTTGGCTTCAGTTCTTTTCTCTTACCTGCCCAGGTGTCCTGTTGCTTTGGGGCTGGGAGTGAGGGGGAGGGCAGGGCTCCCCAAGAGGTAGGAGCTGGGCTCCTGGAGCTTGAGGGAGGAGCTAGCACTTGGGGTAGGGCCTGTATCCACCCACAAGACCCCATGTTTGGGTTTTACCTGCAGAGCTGTGGATGTGTCCCCCCAAGGACACAGGCAACAGGAAAAGGACACCTCTAGTTATCTGTGCACACAGACACTCACACACCCCCAGCCAACATGTGCTCACACATTTGTCGGGATTCCTCATGTTTGGCACTTGGGCAAGCCATGGAAGAAAAAGGTCCACGCGGTCCCGCTCCCGTTGCAGTGCCCAGGCGTCGGCAGTGACCACAGTGGTGGTCACAGGTGCAGGGAAGCGAGGGCCTGCTGGGAGAGCACCTGTTTGTGGTCTGAAAGGGCCTTTGGGGCGTCTGCTGTCTGTTCATTGTTCTCTAGACAAGGATTTTCTAAATTGTCCCCGTGCCATAGATCAGGGTCAGCACATGTTTTGTGAAAAGAGCCAGAGTGGGTTTCAGCTCCGGGCTGGGTGATCTCAGTCACGATGACTGCCCTGGGCCGTTACAGTGGGAAAGCTGCCACAGCGACTGGAGGAATGGGCCAGGCTGCTTGTCCCTAAAGCTTTACGCAGGCTGAAAGGTATTCACGTGTCACAAAGTATCTTTTTCTTTTCTCCCCTCAGCCATTTAAAAATGTAAAAACCATCCTGGACTTGCAGGCTGGACCAAATCAGGCAGTGGCTGGAGTCCAGCCTGTGGGCCTGAGCTTGCAGACCTGGCTCGGGTAACTGCCTTAACACACACACCCCCAGGAAATACCACAGAAAAACAAAGTGCTTTAAACACTCCGGCCCAGGAGCCAGAGCAGGGCCTGCAAGTGGGCACTCATCTTGAACACAGGATCTAATGGGGGCGCCAAAATCTCAATCATGGAGATGAATGATATATTTTTAATTACTCAACCTTATTTTTAGGCCAGTTTTAGATTTACAAAAAATGGCAAAGGTCATACAGAGTTCCCATGTACCCCAACCCAGTTTCCTATGTTAACATCTTACATTAGGCCCTGATGGGTAGCTCAGTTGGTTAGAGCGTTGTCCCAGTACACCAAGGTTTCGGCTTCGATCCGCAGTTAGGGCACATATGAGTCAACCAATGAATGTATAAATAAGTGAAACAACACATAGATGTTTCCTTCTCTCCCCCCTTTTCCCCCTCTCTCCCTCTAAAATCACATTTCCTTAATTTTCCCCTGAGGTCGTAGGACCCATCCAGGATCCCACATGACATTGTGGGCTGTGACATTTCTGACACATTCATCAGTTTTCATGCCCTGGGCATCGTGAGGAGGAGGGGTCAGGAGTTTGGTAGATGCCCCTCTATTGGGGTCAGCTGGTGTTTTTCTCATGGTCTGGCTGAGGCAATGGGATGGGCAATATTTTAATGAAATATTTTTCAAGTTGGAATTAATGCAAAAAAAAATCCATGGTGAACAAAATACCAAAAACTTAAATCCAGTATCAGAAATGCTGGTTTTCCCTTTTTCCTGAGTTCTAACCTGTTGTTGTTGTTGTTGTGTTGCTGCAATCGGAGGGGAGGGTGGGAGAGGAAGGGCTCCAGTAGGCACCCAATCTTCCTATTCTTTCTCTCTTTTTTTTATTGATTTAGAGAAAAACATTGATTTGTTGTTCTACTTATTTATGCATTCATTGGTCGATTCTTGTATGTTTTCTGACCGGGGTTCAAACCTTGGTATATCGGGACGACACTCCAACCAACGGAGCTAGCTGGCCAGGGTTAGGCACCCAGTCTTGGGGACTGGGGGGGGGGGGGGCAGGAGACCTCGTCTATGGCTTCTCCCCCAGGGTACCAGACCCTCCCTGGAGTCAGCAGAGTTCTGGAAGTTGAGATAGAAGAAGACAGAGCAAAGACAGGCATGTGAACCCAGGTGCTCAGCTATCTTTAGAGAGTAGGGCCAGCAGTTTTTTGTGAATTCAGAGTTTATTTCAAAAGGCAGTTCCTAGAAGGTGGAAATGGAGGGGATGACCCAAGGTGACTACTGTTGGTGGGAGAGAGGGCCCTTGCTGTGTGTGAGGAGGGGAGCAAGGGGAGTGGGAGTGGCCAGGGTGCAGGAGGGAGAAGCTTGCTTTGTCTCTGCTCCCCTTACCGGGTACCCTGACCCCCTCTCAGAATTGTCCCCAGCAGACCTGCTCTATCCTGTATTTTCACAGGTCTAGAGAGGGCAGTTTATTGATTTGTGCCTCGGTTTTCCTATCTGTGAAATGGATCCAGGAACCCATATCCTGCTCTGAGGGATGACAGGTCTTGGAGCTGCTGCAGTGAGGCGGGGTATCCAGGCCTGGGAAGGTGGGAGGTGGGCGTCTCAGCCTGGCTCTTAAGTCCCACCTTGTCCAGATTTGCCCAGGGCATTCTGGAAAATCCCACATCAGGAAACCCCTCTGTCCTGTGGAAACCGGGACCATTGGTCACTCTACTCACAAGTCCTTGGCAGCTCCCCTAAACCCCTCTGCTCAGGGGCCTTTCCTGTGAAAGGGAGGGGAGTGGCCCTCTCGGGATCTAAGCTGCCCTCCCCCCCACCAGCACAGATACTCGCTGGTGTCCTGTAGGTTTGTGGCACATGGTGCAGCTGTCCAAGCCAGCTGCCCTGAGAGCCGGCCTGCTGTCGCCCGTCTGTCAGCACCGCATGGCGTCTTAACAGCTTTGTTGAGATATAACTTCCATCTGATACAGTTCACCTAATTAAACTCTGTAGTTCAGTGGTTTTTGATATATTTAAAGTATGCAGTCATCACCACTAAGTCCAGAACGTTCACCCTCACAAGAAACCCTGTCCCCATGAGCAGTCACTCCCTGGCCCCTGGCACCCACTAGCCCACTCTCTGTCTCTGGATTTACTTGTCCTGGACATTTCACATAAATGGACTCACACACTCTGGCCTTTTGGGTCTGGCTTCTCTCACTGAGCATCATTGTTTCAGGGCTCATCCACGTTGCAGCAGTGTCAGCCTTTGCTCCCTTGCATGGCTGAGTAATATCCCAGTGCTCTGCGGGACCACATTTGTTACCCATCATCCGTCAAAGGACATGTGTGTTTTCACTTTTTGGCAGTTGGAATCGTGCTGCTGTGAACACGTGTGCGGGTTTTGTGTAAATGTGTTATTTTTCCTGGGTGGATATCTAGCAGTGGGTTTGCTGGGTTATGTGGTTACTCTCTGTTTAACCATCTGAGCCACCACCAGGCTGCCTTCCACAGCGGCTGCACCCTTATCATGGAGGCTCCCATTTCTCCATGGCCTCACCAGCACTTGTTACCATCCATCTTCTTCTTTAGCTGTCCCAGTGGGGTGAGGTGGCATCTCACTGCCCTGGTTTGGTTCCAGGTATTTGTAAACACATGCACCTCTACGCGGGGAGGGTGGGGCAAGGAGGCTGATGGGGAATATAGGTGTGACCTGGCAGGGGACAAGTGGTGGGGGCAGGTCAGGCAACCTGGGGCCTCCCAGGGTGGGTGGGCTGAGCTGGTCGGGAGGCCTCCGGGGTTAGTAGGAGCTGTGTCCCATGGCCGGCCACCCTGGGGCGCCTGCTGCTGTGGGGGCTTTCCCTCACCCGGGCCTTGCTCTCTCCCCAGGTAAGCGGCATTAAGACGCTGTACGAATCGGAGCTGGCCGATGCCCGCCGAGTGCTGGATGAGACAGCCCGGGAGCGGGCCCGGCTGCAGATCGAAATAGGGAAACTCAGGTCTGAGGTGGAAGAGGCCAACAAAAGGTAAGGGGTACAGCCGGTGTGGTGTTGTTCTGATTCTAGGGCCGTAGTGTGTACAGGGCGGGGCGGGCGCTAGAGTCAGGGGCTTGTCAACCCCCTGTGTGGTGGAGTCACTCTGAGAAGCACCCAGAAGCACCCAGAAAACCTTTGGGGCTTGTCCAAGCTGGTGGCCCCCACTCAGACAGACCTGGGAGCTGGTCCTGTGGGTTCTTGGAGGCCAGGGGTCAGGAGTGCACTGGTTGCTGGGTGGGTGAGGGTGAGCTCGGTATCCTAGCCTTCTAGCTACCCCCTGACCACCTTTAATCCCACCCACCCCACAACATAATTTGGCCCAAGGAGGGTTTTGAAGCTGGGCAGCATTCCTAGGACTGAATCTAGGAGGTGGTAGTGCTGGGTCAACCTCCTCCTTCAGGCCACAGAGCCCGGCTTCCCCAAGGACCCACCGCTCTCTTCCTCTACCCTGGATTTGGGAGACGCCGATGTGCCAGCTTCCTTGTTTCTGGGGCCCCTGCAGGCCCACGTGGCCTTTATCCTCTGCCTCCTCTCAGTGTCCTCATCCTGGGAAACTTTGGGGCCAGACTCCCCATCCCCATCTTCACCCCAACCAGGCCCATTGCGGCCGGGCAACCTTCAGGCTGAGTCTTTTTTCTTACTTGCAAAGCATGTTCTTTTGCCTGTTTATGAATAAAAAGGTTTCAAAAGTTGGGAGAATAAGTTGGTGCTGGTGATAATAGCAGAAGTAATAAAGTAGTGTGTGTGTGTGTGTGTGTGTGTGTGTGTGTGTGTTAATCCTTACCCAAGGATATATTTTTTTCCCATTGATTTTTAGATTCCCATTGATTTTTAGAGAGAGTGGAAGGGAAGGGGAGAGAGAGACACACACAGAGAGAGAAACATTGATGTAAGAGAGACACATCAATCGGTTGCCTCCCGCACCCACCCTGACCAGGCTGGGGATTGAGCCTGCACCCAAGTTACATACTCTTGGCTGGAATCCACCCTTTAGTCTGAGCGCGGACACAAACCACTGAGTAAGACCAGCTAGGGCAAAGTAATAAAAAAAAAACACGTATTTTTATTGATTTCAAAGAGGAAGGAAGAGGGAGAGGGAGAGAGATAGAAACATCAATGATGAGAGAGAATCATTGATCAGCTGCCTCTTGCACGCCCCGCACTGGGGATAGAGCCCACAACCCGGGCATGTGCCCTTGACTGGAATCGAACCTGGAACCCCTCAGTCTGCAGGCCGACTCTCTATCAACTGAGACAAACCAGGTAGGGCCAAAGTAATTTTTTTTTAATCCTCACCCGAGGATATGCTTTCATTGGTTTCTAGAGAGCGAAACATTGATCGGTTGCCTCCCGATGCGCCCCAGCTGGGGATTGAACCCACAACCTTTTGGTGAATAGGACAGTGCTCCAGCCAACTGAGCCACCGGGCCAGGGTGTAATAAAATACTTTAAATACACTAAGTATTAAAGTAATACAGGGGATACCATGAGTAACACCAAGTTCAGGCGTGATCCCCTTCCATCCTCACAGTGACCCTAGCAAGGCCAGACTTTCCTCATCTCCCTTTACAGAGGGGGAAACTGAGGCATGGGGTTGGGGGCTTGTCCACGGTCCCTCAGCTCCGCAGTGACCAGGACCAAGAGTGGACCCTGGTTTCCTGAGTCCCTCTGGTAGTTCCAACAGCCAACAGCCACCTTCATATTTGTGGCATTTTTTTTCTTTTTTTGATTAATAGATGAAAAAAAAAATTTTTTATTGATTTTTTTTTTTAGGGAGAGAGAGATAGAAACATTGATGAGAGAGAAACATTGATCAGCGGCCTCCTGAATGCACCCCACTAGGGATCAAGCCCAAAATCTGGGCATCTGCCCTGACCTGGAATGGAACCGACAACATCCTGGTATGTCTCGATTTTTTTTTCAATAGAGGTTTTTTTGAGCAGTTTTAGGTTTACAGGAAAATGAGTAGAAAGTTCAGTTTTAAAAAATCCCCCCTTGGGTTTCCCCACTGTCAATGTCTTACGTTAATTAGTGAGCCATCTATACTAACAAAAGGGTAATATGCTAATTAGACCGGAGACCTTCCGGACAAAGCCATGGTGGCGGGGCCGAGGCAGAGGTGGTTAGGGGCAATCAGGCCAGGAGGGGAGGGCAGTTGGGGGT